TATAGATTTATCTTTTATATATATATAGATTTCTTATATAGAATCTTATATATATATAGATTTATCTTTTTCTTTTAACCAGTGGGTTTAGTTCATTTACTCTCCTCTGACATCTTACTGTCTTTATTTAGATCTGTTTGCTTTTTCTGTTTCTTCTTTTCTGTAAAGTAGCTCAAATTAATATCTTTATCTCAGCCCCCAAATAACTTTAGCATGTTCTTCCTTTTCTTGGTCTCTACAACAATGCTCGTTTCAGTCCAGGTCTTAATAAGAAACTGTCACTACCATGTATTGTCAACTGTCACTTCTAACACAGTTGAGCGCACTATTTAGTTCAGCTAATGTTTTTATAGTAAGATTTTTTCTTTGAAAGAAGCAGTTGTGTTGTGCTACATTCTGGTTCCAGCTCCTAATCATGTCAGGACTCCAACAGATAGTTTCTAGACTGACTACTTTGTATAACACTGGTCTAGAATCCTGGCTATTTGTTTAAATGCTACCAGTATTTTGCTGAGGTATAATTTGCATAAAATAAAAGGCATGAATCTTCTACACTTAGCTCAGGGAATTTTGATAAATGTATGTGCTTGACAAAAATTTAGATTAAGATAAGAAATATTCCTATCATTCCATCTGTTCCTTTCATTACTTCTCTCACCTTGTAACCAGTGTTGATTTCTTTCACTATAGATTAGTTTTATGTATTCTTGAACTCTATATAAATGGAATAATAAGCTTGTATTATTTTATGTCTGGTGGCTTTTAATTAGTATGCATTTATCAGTTGTAGTTTGTTCATTCTTGTATGATATTCTTTTGTGTGAATATATAAGAACTTATTTTATCCTATTGTGATGGGCATTTAGGTTGTTTATAGTATTTTAATGAGTTGCACTATTGAGAAGATTTTGCTGTATGTTATTGTTCAGTTCCATTAGTAAAATGTGTAAGAGAGAGATTCCTAGGTTATAGGCTATGCTTATGTATAGTGATGTTGTCAGTTTACCAAAGTGATCATACCTGTTCACAGTCCCACTGGCAGTAAACGAACATTCCAGAAATTCCCCTTCTGGCTACTCTTTATGTTGTCTGTCTTTTTGCAATTTTGCTGTTCTGGTGGGTTATAGTTGTATTATATTGAGATTTGTCTTGTGTTTCATGATAACTACTCATTGAGTACCTTCATGTATGTTTATTATATATTAGGATATCCTCTGTTGTGTAATTTTGTCTGTTAGGCTATCTGTATTTATTTTTGTTTATTTGTAAAAATTCATATAGTTTAGATATATTAGTAAATATTTTACTCTATGTATATGTTTATAGAATGTATATTCTCTCCTGTGAATTGCTTTTTAAATCTGTTATTAGTGTCTTTTGATGCTATAACTTACCAATTTTAGTACTGTCCAATTTAATATTTTTCCCTTTATTGTTACTACTTCTTTGAATTCTGTGAAATCTTTGCTTATCCTAACATCATGAAGACTATTTTTAACTTTTCACATCTGGGTCTGCAGTCCATCTGGAAATTATTGGTGAATGGTATGAAATAGAAGTCAAGATTAATTTTTTTTTTTTTTTGAGACAGAGCCTTAAGCTGTCACCTTGGGTAGAGTGCTGTGGCATCACAGCTTACAGCAACCTCCCAAGTCCTGGGCTCAAGCGAGTCTCCTGCCTCAGCCTCCCAAGTAGCTGGGACGACAGACACCTGTCACAACACCCGGCTATTTTTTGGTTGCAGCCGTCATTATTGTTTGGCAGGCTGGGCTGGATTTGAACCCGCCACCTTAGGTTTTAATATAGGCAATTTAAATTTTACTATCTGGTAGTGTGTTTCTTCCAACTTTGTTCTTTTCCAAGATTTTCCTATTTCTCCTTAGCCTTCTGTATTCCCATTTAAATACAGTAGAATCTCTGTAAATTGACCACCCAAGGGACTGTAACGAACTGAGTAACATATGGAGGTGGTCAGTGTAGGGGATGGTTAACTATGGAGGTTCTACTGTATTAGAATAAGTCTGTCATTTTCTATAAAGGACTGGCAGGGATTGTGAATGAGATTGCATTGACTTTATAGATCATTTTGCAGAGAATCGACATATTTACAGTAGTTTCCAATTCATTAAGATGTGGTATAGTCCTCCGTTTATTTAGGACTTTAGAAATATTTCTTACTGTTTGTGTTTTTCTATAAAATGTTATGGAGATTTGGTTTATTTTTTAGGTCTTGTATTTTGCTACTGTTAATGAGACAGAGTCTCTCTTTGTCGCCCTGGGTA